ATTTTTTGTCTAGTATTGCTCTTATCGCTGCCTTCGGAAGCCTTGCTCTAGGAACCAGGCTTGCTATTTCTTTCGATTTCAACGCTAAGTCTCACTTTTCATTTAATTTATTTATCATTTTGGTTCGCTTGTGTATAAACCACGTAACAAATTCGACTGTATCATTTTACGAGTAAATAATACAGAAGAGAAGAAAGCACTATCAAAGTTGTTGGCCCAAGTAAACGTGTAGTTTTGAAGACTGACAAAAGAACTCAGACATGGACCAGGTCCTTCTTGTGAAGCACAGTCATGATCAACCCAAACAAGTGAGACGCACGTGAAGGAGATAAATCTAACTTATCAGAAGTAATATCTCCTGATCTGATCGAAAAGGTTGCATATTGGATAAGGAGAGAAAGACTCCTTACATGAAGAGAACTCAATTTTGAAAGAGGATAGTGTTAGAGTATGAGATCAACTAGAACTCTTCTACCATAGAAGAGTAGCGTCTGTATCCCAGCCATTCTCTAATTACTAACCTATTAAATATCAGTGTTGTTCTCTTTTACAAGTAATGCACATAAGCAGAAGTTAAACGTGAATTGAGAGCAAAATAGCAAGGCAATTTTGCAAGCAATTTATGTGTGATTCAAGCGTGTAATCCTGAAGCTACTTGAACAAGATAGAAGAACTAGTTCCAAGTGTCTATCTTTTATTCTAGTTCAATTGTAGTAGGTGATTTTACATTGTACCTTTCAGCTTTTGTAGAAGCAATTGTGTTAGGTACTTAGAGTGTTCAAGTTAGAGTTAACTTGAAGTTGTCGCAACAGTTGAGGCCGTGTGCCACAATGGGATTAGAGTTAATCCTAGATTTACAAAAGAGTTTTTGTAAATGCAGTTTTTGGCTCAGTGATTTTAGTGGAAGTATGGAAAAATCCTACTGCGTAGTAGGTCGTGGTTTTTTCACCCATTGGGCCAGGTGTTTTCCATGTATAAATGTCTATGTTCTTTATTTTCTTTACTTATTATTCCGCAAACAGTAGTAGTTGGAACACATAGAAGAACCAGGTCCTTCTATAATCAAGCTAAGCGAAAATTGGGTACCACACCTATCACCCCCCCCCCCCCCCCACTCCTCTTGTGTGGTATTGAAGAATAAAACATCAATTGGTATCAGACCAAGTTATCCTTGAAGAGGTTAACACCTTAGGAAAAGATCAAGATGAGTGCACCACCTGGAAACTGGGAAGGGCAATCCACTGCTAGGCCCCCACTCTTTAATGGTCAGTTATATTCTTGGTGGAAGAATAGGATGAGAGACCACATCATTGGAGAAGATCATGAACTCTGGGATATAGTCACTGATGGTCCCCTAGCTACTACAAAGAAGAATGCTAAAGGAGTGGACGTGCCAAAGACAAGAGCTGCCAGCACTGCTGAAGATTTGAAGAAATGGGAGAAGAATGCCAAGGCCAAGAAATGGCTTGTGTGTGGACTAGGTCCAGACAAGTACAGCAGGATTCAAAGTTGTACCACTGCTAAGGAGATATGGGACACTTTACAAGTGGCTCATGAAGGAACTCCTCAAGTAAAGAGATCAAGAGGAACATTACTATATTCTCAATATGAGAATTTCACTATGAAGGAAGGAGAAACTATCCAGGAGATGTACACAAGGTTCACAACACTAACAAATGAACTTAAATCTCTTGGGAGAATTATCCTTGAAGAAGACAAAGTTGAGAAAATCTTGACAAGGGTCTTACCAGTAACTTGGGAAAGCAAAATCACTGCTATTCAGGAATCAACGAACATTGCTACTCTCAAGTTGGCTGAACTAATCGGAAATCTCACTGCCTATGAACTTAGAAGGCAAACCATGAAAATGGATGCACCCAAGAA